AATAATAATAATAATAATAATAATGACTGCATGTTAGCTGTTCCAATAACAGTAGCTGAAAAATAAGCATTCATTACTCTCTGGATTCTTTGGCAGGGAGGAGAAGGGGGGCTAAGGGAAGTCTGTAGGACTTTGTAATATTAAAAAAAGCCTCTACTGTGTATCTAGATATCAAATTATGGATGTGACCTGAACTTGTTAACACTAATTACGTAAGTTAGTTTCATTTGTGTGTCTGGAGGAACAGATCCTAAAGCAATAGAACTGCTGCATTTCTTTTTTATCAGTGCATTTAGGTAAATACAGTTTTTCATAATTTATTCTGTGTCATCCTAAAAGAAAAATGTTATCAACCTAAAGGATGTGAAATTCTTAGAACCAATATTTTGGTCACTTTTATATTCTTTTGCTTCAAATTTTATGAATTAATTATAAATAATTTGAAAATGTGGTCATAGAATTGCAATGTATTTAAAATAATACCTATTTTAAGTGGGTTTTTAACTTGCCTGGTTCTTGTATCTGTTGCTTAAAGAAATTTGAAAGTAACTAATATCTTAAAAGGATTTTTTGCAGTTGTATATAAAATTGAAAATTGCATAGCTTTCAGAGAAAAAAAGCATAAAAAAGGCCTATGCTTAAAAATGTTGTAGTCTTTAGCAAAATTTTAGCTGAGTGTGTTCAATATATTTATTTACATAACATTGTTAATGAGAAAAATGACATGTTTCATTAAGGACACACTTGTAAGAGAACAGGTAACAGGTAATTGACACTGGAAAAGAAAAAGACAAAAAATACAACAACCCTATATTATAACTAGTTCCCATGGTAGATAAACACTTTTTAAAATTATGTTCATCATGTATTACTCTTCTTTTTGATATGTATTAAACTCTTTCTGGTAAATTGGCCGTGCATCTGATCTGTATGTATAAATTAAATTGTACTTTCTAGAGCTTCATCGGTGTCATACCTATCATTCTGGCTTTTTGATCTTCCATAGATTAAAGCTACGTTCCATCTAATTAACAAAATAGTTTTACAGCAAATTTAATATAACTGGGTTTAGTAGTAGTTATCTCAGCTGATAGAAGTCCATATGAAAAGTCTTGATAGACATGGGCAGTTCATAGTTGGACCTACTAATTTATATTATTGTAAGAATAATTTTCCTTCATGTTGAGCTTACTGCATCAAGTCAGTGCTAACTGGTAATAATACTCTCACACAGTACCAAATCTATGTAGCAGTAGTTAGGTGAGGCTTTCTTTCTGTGTCTGTTAGGCAGGATCTCTCTGCTACCATACTCATAGCATAGTTCTTTGAAAGGCAGGTGGTCATATAGTCGACATCTTGATCCTGCAAAGCACCGTATTCCTCTTTGTATGCTGTGAATAATTATGCTAAAATGTTTGGACGAGCACAGTGTATAAAATTAAGCCCACATGTAACTTCATTTCTGAAGTAGAACCTCTGAAAAAGGGATGGGGAATGGGTTGACACAGCAACAAAAGAACCAACCTGACATAAACCAAATGTTGCATTGTAGGAGAAAGGTACTATGAATAAATACAATTCTACTTGCCCAGGCCCTATGTTTTTCTGGTAACTAGGTATGAATATACATTTCCATGGCTACTATTTCCACTAAAAGGACAAGTATGTGAAGGATATCTACCTCTAGTTAAAATCAATGAAAAGCTCTTGGACAAGACTTTTCATAGATTGTCTGAGCAAGATTCTTGTACTTTGCCCTGATCCTTTTTTTTTTTGCCCCAGCCATTCTGGAAACAATACTCTGCATTCAGAATGCAAAAATGTTGATTATGACTTTCGACTACTGTAAAGAAACACTGGGGAAATAAGGATGCTTTATGAGATGGCATAGTATTATTAATTTCTGTATTATATTTTCAGTGTTCAAATTGCCTGTTAAACAACTCTTGAAAAAACCTAAATTGATGTGTGCTGATTTCTTTTTTTAACAAACAAATATACTTACTCTGTTTCAGCTCAGAGAATCATTTAAGGATCTCAAAAAGAAATTCAACAATTTGAAGTTTAACTATATGAAGAAAACTGAAAAAGCTCGAAATCTGAAAGTACTTAAAATACAGATTCAGCAAGTTGATACATATGCAGAAAAAATACAGGTAATAGAAATTTTAGGCTTAGTAAAAGTTTCACTGGTTGAATTACTCTGGCCTGTGCCAAGCACGTAGAGGAGATACAAAATGTATTGTGAATTTCCCTGTTACTCAGCTTTATAGCCTTCCCCTGCCTTAGCCATTGATTGAGACATTATTCATTTGTTCCCGTTATTCTTCCATGTCAGTCAGTGAAATGATCTTATCTCAATTCCTGACTTCTCTGTGTTCACTGCTTTTAGCCTCCATTATTTTTCTTTTTAATCTTTTATTGTTCTTGCCTCTGTTCCTTCATGATATGTGTCCTTTTCTCCTTACAAAACCAAAATAAGTACTTCTTGCATCAAGCTACTTTCTTCTCTTTCTCATTTCATGATGTAAGATGAATCTTTCTCTTCAGAGCCTTTTGCTGTATCCATTGCCTGAGGCTGCTCATGCTCATTTGCTCCTTAGAACCCTGCTAGCCTCACCCATTCTTTGCATTCACCAGAAAGTTCCACCAATGACCTTTTCAGTTGCAAGTCATGCATGTCTCTGTTTTATTACTATGGATATGTGTTTATTTTTAATCTGAAGAAGTTGGCCTAATTATACCATGAATAAATATAATTTACGTTCATTTAAATCAGCATTTTAGACAACCTCCAGTTTCATTTTGTTTTTGAAATAGCAACTTGTAATTTTTAAAGCACTGGACAAGAAATATATTTGTATGGTTTTCCCATGTTTTTTTTTTGTTTACTTTTTGTTTCTAAACATAGAAACATTTTCATTGTGGTATTTAACATTGCTTCATCTTTTAAGCAGATTCTTAAAAAGAAGATGGATAATTTAGAGAAGAAAGTAATTGACTCTTCTGCAAATGAACCTAATGCTAAAGTTGGAGTCCTCGTAGGGTTAATCAATGACTTACAGAAGCAGCAGAATGACTTTAGCATGGTTGTGGAAGATTACAAGCAAAATCTGGATTTCATGGAGCATCTGCAAGAGATGATGACGGAGGTACTAGCATAGCTGAGATCCCCACTGTGGCTGTAATAATGATCCAGGACAGGGATAGATAAAAGTGCCTATAACTGCTTCAGGCTTAACGTGTGGTTTCCAAAAGTAACAGATTGGTAAAAAAACCCTTATTTTCTTCTATTATGTTTTTTTTGTAAAGTTGTGGAGAAAGGGGAAAAAAATTTGTGCAATGTGATCATATTTATGCATCTGGGGTCTCCATCTCCATATGACTGCCACAGTCATTCAGCAGATCTGTGGTCATACTTATGAGCTCATTTTCTCTAAGGATGCTCTGAGGCAAAACAGAACGTGCCACAAGACTCTCGAGCGAGGCTATCACAGTACCCACTGTGTGGTATGTAATTCTGGAACTGAAATACAAAATATTCAGTTTCTTTAACAGAAGCATATAATTATTTTTTTAAAAAGATGTAAATCTTAAGTATATGTTTGAGGTTTTTTCCTGAACTGCAGTCTGTCTATTTGGAGACATTTGTAATTTTATTTTAATGTGACTAAGGACTGCCTCATGCATTGCCTTTTTTAAAAGAAAAAGGAATTGTAACAGTATTTTCCCTCTTGCAGCATTGTGTTGGTGCACTTGCTGTGAGACAAGCACGTTCCTGTCATCACTGGGTTTTTTTAGAAATATAATATCTATCTGTCAATATCTCCAAAGAAGTCTATGTCTATGAAGAATTCCCTTAATGATGTTTAAAAGATGTTTTCAGTGTCCAGTGATCTGATGAATGTGTTCTTGTATATACCATTAGCAAAGCAATTTGTTACCATTTGTTGTACATTTGCATTTTAAAACTCCCCACTTACTTAACCAAAATAAATTATTTCCTAGAACTAAAATTTAAGACGGTTTTTTTTCACTCAGTGTAAAGTATTACCTGTTACTCAAGACTTTTCTTTCAGCAAATTGACACAGTCTTAAATACTGATTTCAATGGCAGTTAGAGATGGTGATTAATTAACTGCTTCGTGTAATAATGCAATACTGATGATACTGAGTGAATACCAGATTCTGTCCTGTTCTAAGTATTGTTAACCAAAAGTGGGCTTTATGGATATGTTCTAAAGCCCAATCTTGTCAGTAGAAAGATTCCTACAACTCTAACGGACACTGAGACCAAAAGCCTTGTTTGCTAATACACTAAATTTAAAGAACCTTTCTACCCTTTCAGAGGTGTAACTGTGGCCGTAATATGAAGTGTTTGAAATTAGTCAGTTTATATACAAGGTGGAAAGACCTCAGAAATAAAACATGTATTCTCAGAATGGTGAACTAATAACCTCACCATGCTTTTAAGATAAGCATGGACCTAGTGTTTAATGAATTTAGAAGCTATTAATACTTGAAGCACCATTAGTGTTGAGCAAATGTTTTTCAGGTTAATTTAAGGTCTGAAAATTTAAGACATACTGTATGCTAGTGATTATGGAAAGTCTAAGAATAATCCAATCTATTTTACAACAACTTGAATGGCAGATAATGCTTCATTATAATGCAGGTTTTTTATCCCTCAGTGCCAGTTTTGGTTTGAAGATGTAAGCGCAACAGTGATTAGAGTTGGCAAGTATTCTGCAGAGTGCAAAACAAGAGAAGCAATAGAGACACTCTATAAGCAATTCAATAAGTTTATTGAGCCTACAGTGCCTCAACAACAAGAAAAAATTCAGCAGATGATGGACCTCGCTAAGCAGTTATATGGTGAGGAGATACCTGGTAACGTACAGTAACTTGGGATGTGAGGAAGCATACTCTTAGATTTGTTCATTTATGAAGAAAATCCCAGGAAGTTTAAAAATAAAATGTTTTAAAATATTGGCTGGAGGAGGTGAAGCATTTGAGAACTGACATTTTAAAAAAAATAAAAATATGCCAGTATTCAACAGTCTGGTACTTACTTAGTTTTCTGTATTCACCTTGAAATCAAAGTTTAAGTGTCCTTGTAATATTCATGAGCTTGGAATTAAGACTTCATGGCTTAAGCTATTTCATAACAGGCAAGCCTTTGAAGTCAGAGTATATTATGGTGATATACTTCAGTGCCGAGTTTTGGTTTTTTTACAATAATGGTCTGAATAACTAGTAGGATCTAATTGCCAGATTTTTATCTGCAAGCAATGTAGATTGCTATTTAGATACTGTATTTGCAATTGTATTGGTTCGGAACACTGTTGACCAAAGAGATGAAAGTCAAAAAACTTCATGTTTAGTTTTTTTTTCCCCCAGTTGTAATTTTTATGTACTTGTTTAAGTTATTTTATCCAAAGACAAGATGACCATCCAAATATGAAAGGATCTGGTAATGATGGTAGGGTTGGACTCGATGATCTTTGAGGTCTCTTCCAACCCAGTTGATTCTATGATTCCATACTTCTATGATGCTGTGTAGCCTATCAATTGAGGTAGTAATCTGAAATAATTTCAAGACTGAAACTGGGCTTTTAAATTCCTCTAATTTAGTGCTTGAAAGACTATTTAGAGAGCAGGGATCACGTCTTTTTTCTTTTTTTAACCTTCTCAATATTTTAAACATTCCTATCTTTAGGAAAGGAGATGACAGAATAGATTCTTGACAACAGCTGATTATGAACAGCAAGAGAAAGAAGCTGCTTTGTGTTCTATAAGTCATTACATGGGAAAAAGCTTCTCCTGCTTTTGATTTGTATTCTTATAACAGAGGTCTAAGTGTCTCCTAACTGTATCATGTGGCAAGTAGTTTAGGAGACACATTATGAGGTCAGCAACCTTTAAAGCAGTATCACTAACCAAATAGAAGACCTGCATCAACTATGAGGATCCATCTCAAGAAAGCTAGTAAGGGGTATGAAAACACATTGCTATGAATCACAGAACTCCTTCAACAAAATAAAACACAGAAAAATGTAATTATTGCAGTATATTGGGGTTACAAAGTGCATTGTTACAGAGCCGTTTGAGGCATCCTGTTCTACTTTCATGTTGTTTTGCTTTTGTAGGTACTGAAGAAGGAAAAAAGTATGTTGAAAAAACTGTATTGAGGTACAAAGAAATCATTAGTTCTGTTGATGAGTTGTGTAGATCTCTGAGAGAACTTAAGGAGATAAAGGTAATTTATTTTTGTCTAGAGAATGTATTGCATCTGGATCAACTTACTGGGCTTAGTGTCTGAATCAGTTCTTTTAACTGAGGATTATCTATGGTAGTATGAGGCACTTCATAATTGTTTGCTTTTCTGTTACCTTAGGTAATAATTGTAATGTATCAATAAAGTGCTGGTTGCTTGTGCAGTAAATATTTCTTCTAGGTTTCTTTTTCTTGGCTTCTTTCAGAACTGTTACTGCTTTTGAGTTACATTTAGGGGGAAATGTCACAATAGCTTTTATTATCTAGACAAATACTTTGTGTATTATAGGTATTGGTAGCTGCTAGATCTACAAAATGCCAAACAACCTAGCTTGGCTCCCCTTTGGAAAAATACTGTCTTTGCTTGTCCAGAAATGAATTAATCAGGTTATGGAGCATTTTTTGCCATAAGCAATTTACATCTGTGTTGATGACAGGTTTTAGCTGAAATTATGCTTTTTTTTTAACCTCTGTTGTACAGAGCATATGTTAGTGTGTAGCTAACAATTGCTAACTTCTGTTGTGTAAGAACGTACTTAATTTTCTCTTCACATGGCAGAAAGATGAGTTTTCTGAAGTGTTGGTTACTGCTCAAAAACAAGAAGTAAATGGTCAAGAAGCATGTGAGACTGTTAAAGACAAAGCAGTGGAGCAAAAGCAGCAGGTTAGTTAGATTCTTTTGTTTTAATAACTAGAACTCTCTTTCTTATAAGGATTTGTGTATTGCTATAAAATTTTTTTAGAATTTTTTTTTTAGGATTCTTTTTACTTGCCTATATATCTCCTTTTGTTTTCTAAAATAACATTATTTTGAAAAATAGTATTGTTCTCATAATCTTTTGCTCATTTTCATTTGGTCCTATTGCACAGTGTTCTTAATGTAGATGTCCTCTTTGTGACATTTACTCCTTCCTGAAGGAAGAGTACTTTCTGCTCTCTCCTTTATAATAAGACTTAAAGGAATATAGGAAGTAATAGAGGAAACTGCTGTTAGCATTTCCCAGACCTCTATTATTCATATGATGCCTAGATACACGTTATGAAAGTATTTGATTTATAAGTAATATTCTATGAGAGAAACTTTATAGCTCAGAATTTGAAATAATTAATGGCAGAAATTGTGATTATTTGTTCAATCATTGAGGTCTTAATCAGGAAAAAATAGTGGGTTTTAAAAGCATTTTTCTTTCAGATGGCATCAGGTGAATTGCTTACAAATTCAGAAAGCATTGCTGTGAAGAGAAGCAATACTTTGTCTCCTATCAACACTCAACAGGTATCTGCTATTCATGTTAATTTTGTCATGTTGATGAGCATCATTGTGTACTCCCAAAGGAATTCTACTCCTTAATTTGTTGTGTATTGAAAATGAAGACTATTGTTATAGACTCGTTGGCTTTGATTATTTCATTTACAGTATTACCAAAAAACTGAAAAAACAAGCACATTGATTCAGTTTAATGACAGAGTGAATAACAGGAAAGCAGTCATAGAACTATGGTGGAACATAACTATATCAGCAGTCCAGTATGCCATCATGTCACAGATTGCTGTTCTACTGATGTGTCACTATACATCAAAGAACAAAACTCAGCATCAAATAGTCATCGTACCTTCACCTCAAAACACTTGCTACATTTCAGTTGCCAATATTCTGTGTGGCAGAGATCGTAAATAAGTTCCAAAGTATGGATCGCGTACATGTTGTGGACAATGCACAAAAGGAGATTAGATAGTGAAAGACTGAGTGTGCATTTGGAATTGTAAAAATTCCAAGCAGATAAGCATCTTTTATTCATGGATAATATAGTAAATGAATATGAAAGGTTCCAAATTGTCAGTGAATAAATGTAGAAATACAGGAAATACAAAGCCAGATCTGTATTTTATGAGATTAATTACTCTAGCTAAAAGAGTATTTTGAAGTCTTATAATCCCAAATGTAAATGTAAATAATTCAGTATGTAAAATATTCCAGTAAATTGAAGTGAGTGACAATATATTTAGGTCCTTAGAAAGGGAGGATCCATTTATAACTGAGTTAGAGATCTAAAAATGCCATTTTGCAAGCTGATAACATAGACTGATACTACATGACATTAAATTGTGAAATTTTATAGAAATCCAACTAATAACATTCCCTTCAGTTCAATACAAAATGTCCTGTAATGTGATGATGAGCCAAAATCCAACCTAATTATTTTTTTCCCTCCATTCCAAGTCAGTGGGAATGTCATCATTGATTTGGAGCCCAGATTTCTGACAAAACTTTGACTGTTCCAAGGAGCTTCCCTCAGAAGAATCACCTTATCCAGCAGATGTTCATAGCTCTATTTCCTATTTTGCGAAACTGCAGCTTTGTTAGTCCTCATCAGACTATGCCTCAGCTGCCAAGGAGAGAGGTTAAGGTTATGCAAAACAGCAAATACCAGATGTGAATTATGGCAACTATTTTCATCACTCCATACTTCACTTAAAGACGTAGCAGGTTCTTTTTACTAGAGCTTTTTTGTCTTCCATTTCCATCCTTTTCAAGGAAAGACCTGGCCCATCCCCAGCCCCCTTGTCTACTGGGCCAGCAACCTCTAATTTTGTCTATACTTCTGCATGCTACTATATCAGTATTCATTGGTTTCAAATACAAGCCTCTAAAATGTGAACTAAACCTTCTCAAGACACATTGATCCTCCTGCTTATTTGATCCCAGGTGGCACACCAGAAGTGAAAGTCCTCATGCTGCCGAAGCCTATCTGACAGCTTGCTCACTCGCTGCCCACCTGTCATTCTTTTCCACATCATTTTCCCCAAGGTCATTTTCCAGCTCTTCAGGGGTCAGAGTTCGTCAGGGGATGTTAGTGGAAAACACATTTAATAGCCACACTTGAACGTCATCTTATAACTGAATTGAATTATTTAGTAAAATAGACACAGTAAACCCCAACCTTCTTCCAGTCATTTATTAATGGATCTGACATGAATCACATGCCTTTGAAATAACAAATATAATAATTTGGAAAAGCATCTATATTAAAAATTAACATAACTAAAGGACCAGAGTACATGTGAGGTTCTGTTACTCCTATTTATTTTTATTTATATTTTATGCACTGATTATTAGGTTATATTTAGAGCAGTAAAGCAAAAACAAAGCCAAAACACTTTTGTACTGGATGCTGTCAGAAAGACTTGGTTTGGAAAGCAATGTTATCCAGTGTATCACTCAGTTGATCTGAGTGGGCAGTTTATAGGTGATAGACCCATTGCTTAGTAAGTTACATAGTTTTGTATAGGACCCAACAATGAGAGAATAACATAAGAAAGCATCACAAACACCTTTGCTGAGAGCCTTTGTGCAAATTGAATAAGTCTGAATATGTGATTACACATTCATATGAAAATCAAGAGGCAGAGAAGTAATTAACAAATCAGATAAGGTCTTTGATGCTTTGTGATTAAAATTAATGCCCTTGTGCCTCCCCCAATTCTTTTTGGAGCATGATGAGCAGTAATTATTTTGGGTCCAAGATTTTATAAAAATAATATTAACATTGCTTTGTCTCAATGTTTGGACAGGCTCTTGAAACAGCTGGGCAATATATGCTTGGAAAATATCATAAAAGTGTTGGTTTAATTATGTAACCCTTGAGAATGCCTGGCAACTCTTTTTCTCAAAGAATCAAAGTCCAGCAACTTGGCTGATAATATATTTTTATTGCTATGTAACTAAATTACATCTAAAAGATGTAATTAGGCCACCTCCTCCTCCACTTTCCCCTTGCAAATATTCATACAAACAGCACCTACAGGTTGCCCTTTGTTTATAGAAAGAGGTACTTTTTCTTTCGTTGTTACTATTGTAATAAGTGCTTGCATATAATTGCAGTAATACCTCCTAGAATTTATCTGAACAGTTTGGAATTCCAGTTAGCTGCTGCAACATTTTCTGATGAATTATCCTTTTCCATGTATTTCATTCTGCTTCTCACAATACATTAAGCTTAATTAGAAGAAATATTTCAGATATTGTTGCTAGATTCTGCACAAAATGGGGATGTATTGGATGATAACTTTTTTTCTCCCTGTTTTTCTTCTTCTTTCTTTTCTCTTCTTTCCCCTCCTAATTTGAGGAGATGAATATATTGGCTGATATTCCAGTTATGCGTCCAGCTGGTGAGGATCTTGTTTCACAGGATACAGAGCTGTCATCTACAACCAAAGAGGATAGTTTACAGACTGAATTCCTGACAGAAGAAACACCCTCTGGAGATGAATATGAGTGTATATCACCTGATGATATCTCTTTGCCACCACTTTCTGATACACCAGAATCCAACCTCTTGCATTCTGAAACAGAGCTAGAAGAGCAGTGCTGTTGTAGTTCTCATAGTCTGCATGTCAGTTCCTATAGCTTGCAAATGCAGAAAACTACTAGTATGAAAAAAGTGTCAGAAGCATCTGATCTCTTAACAAATTCTGCTTTTGCTGATGCTACAAATAATAGAATGGAAAGCCCATCAGATCACTCTGAGAAGATTTGTATCTCTTCAACAGATTCTGGTCCAAAAGTCAGAGCATTATCTCCTTTGACTTGCAGTTTACCAGGAATATCTGAAGCTAACCTTGCTTCTTGCACTATAAAAGCTAAACCAGTATATAGCATGATGAGTGAAGTGTGCAAAACACATTTGAATCACCTTGAAGTTCATAAAAGCATGACAGAAGCACAAGAACAATTGCATGACTTGAATAATTGTACTAAACCCCAGGACAGACTGCATGCTTTGCCTGATGCATTCTCAGGTTTCATGTTTCAATCAGACACCACCAGAAGCTGTCAGAGGCAGATGGTTACCCGAGAAGAGATTAAAAGTTCATCAGAAAAGAACAGCATGGCCAGTCTAACTGGACAGGTGCCTAACTTCTCCCAGCTTCTGTCTAACAAAACCGTCATGGAAGGTTCTCCGGTAACTTTGGAAGTAGAAGTAACGGGATTCCCAGAGCCTACACTGACATGGTGGGTAGCTTACAATGAGAAGTAGTAAATATACCTATTAGCAAGTCACCATAAACCACTTATAACCAAATTAATTAATCTATAGACTAGAATAAATGACTTATATCCTTTCTACTCCACACTTCTGCATGATTTCTACCTTCAAAAAATTTCTTTGGCAATTAACCTACCTGAAATAATCTCTCTGTACTTAATTTTATGATTGAAAGTATAAAATTACTGCAAGCATATCCAATGTTTTTTAAGCAAATACATCATACGGTTTTTATATTCTGGACTATGACATTCCATTTTTTCAGTAATTTCATACAATAATTGCACACTACAGATTGACCATAATAAATTTGCCTGCATTTTCTCAGGATCTGGGCACTAAGTATGGACAGACACAGAGATGCATGTGTACACTGAAATATTTATATAGTCACTGCATATATAGAGAAATACACATATGTGAGAGTCTGTTGTCAAAACCAAGAGGTTACAGCTTAAAACCTCCACCTAAATATCTACACTAAGAGAGTCAGCATTATAGTATATCTTTGTGTGCATTCTCTCTCTCTTAATTGTTATGTGTCTATTTAGATTGTTTTATACTGCATTTGTGAAAAATACAGATGAAGCAATACAAATATCTTTAGGATGACTAAAAATTCCTTGTCAAAAGGAATAGGGACTGAAAGAGGGGCAGGATTTCAAGATTTTGGTAGTAGTTCTATATGTTTTGGCGTGTATTCCTACAATTTTACCTCATTTTCTTCACTTATTCCATTAGACTTTCACAATGGAAGTCTTTCTTTTAATGTATTAAATTAAATATTCCTCTTACTGGAAACATTTTAATGTTAATATTATTACGCTTTGAAATAATTTAACTATAAGTTTTCAGTGAACGGAATTTTTTTTCTGTGTCACTGAGAAAAATACTGGACACTGCAACCTTGGTGCTATACTCTGTTGCTATCAATAAAGTTACCTTGCTTTAAATCCTAGTATTGTACAGATTGAGGAGTATTCGTGAAACAAGAGGTACTTTCATTTTATTAATTTAGCTTGAAAACATGGTATATTTTCTTTCAGAAATAGCATTTAACTGGAAGCATTTTACAAATTAGAAATTAATGAAAACACAAAAAATATGTTTCGATTTTTAATTAAAAATTCACCAATAACATATATTTTGTACTGATGTTGACATTTTATTGGATATACATGTGGTAAAATATTTCTGTGTGTTTGGTCAAATGTAGTTTATGCTACATCATGAGACAGGACAAGCCAGATTTTCTCAAATTTCCAATACGCAAATCAGGAGTCAATACCAATACATGGTGACAGATCCTCAAGTGTTAGAATGTGACATGAGTTCTCTGACGTAACTCCTGATGCGTTGTTCTATCCTGTTTGATGATATGAGCTAAGTAAATGTGAAGTGGGCTGGATTGGAGGAAGGCCCTTGACTGTCCTTTATACTGAAGGCACAAGTTCAGAAGGTTTGTATGTTGACCCTTAAGAGCCCATTCATGAGTTGGAAGTGGATTGATTTAACACCTTACTAGCAAAAATGTTTCAGCACAAAACTGAGGGCCTAGGCCTTCATGTTAGCTCTCCAATACTGCAGTGACTTGTGCATTGAAAACCGTTTTCAGAACTATGTTTCTACTGTTAAGATTATCCAGAAATTTGCAGTGTTTAACTGTTCATCCAAATTGACAGATAACTTAATAAAATTGAGAAATGAGGGTACAGCAGTGAGCTCTATCTATTGCTATTAGTGTAGTGTTACAGAGATTGTTTGAATTTGCTAAGCTCTGCGTGGCATACAGTGACACAAATCTGACTTGAAAACTGACTCTCTGCTTCAGGTACAAGAAGGGCCAGAAACTGACTGCAGATGAGCACTTAAAGCTTTTGCAAAAGGAGACAAAGCATACTTTGTTCATTCAGAAGGTGTGTGATAAAGATGCTGGCCTCTATGTTGTTCGGGCTAAAAATCTGAACGGCACTATCTCATCAAGTGCCATTCTTCACGTGAAAGGTAACAGGCCACCTATTAAAAGAATAGACTGGATAGTGCTGTGTGTCATCTATATTAGCATATCACTAATGTACTGGCTATTCACAAAATAAGTACAATTTTGACTGCACTGGTCTTAATTCTCACATGCAAAGACAGCATTAAATTTCTTTTCTCACACTGCATCTTTCACAATATGTATGAAAGCACTTTTATAGCTCAATGGTTATATTACTTGTTTCCTTGTTACCAGTATTATGTGCTTATTTTCCTTTTTCATAGTAGGCATGTTGAGATAAAAAGAAAGTTACAAAGATTTTTCTAGAATCTGGGGTTAAGTTTTGCTTTCTAAAATGTTGGCATTACAAAGTGTTGGAAACAGTTTTAATGGTAGTAGGTGTTAAATGTCAATATACACCCACATAGAGTGATCAGATTAAGGTATATTTTATGATATGCCTTTTTTGGGGATGGGGTGTGGATGGTGTTCAAATTTTTTGAAACATAGAATGTATTATTTCCAACTACCATTTTCTTGTATAAGTACAAAAAATTATCTGTAGCCTGAAGATTCTTAGTAAAGAAATCAAAGAAATCATACCATTCATGATTGAACCGCCATAGATCAGACTTAAATCTGTCTCAGCCCAGCACAGTCTCCACAAAGGAAAGCTGCAGAGTTGTGATTGTCTGCACTACAGAATTGACCCAGAATCATCAGGGTTTGTATAAGTCATATCTAGCATACAGTAGACCAAAAGTTTCCAAAATGGGGCATTCCAACATACCAATCTGCTTAAGTAGATACCTGTGATACATTCTCTGTCTTCTTATAAAATTAAAGATATAAATATTTCTCATAATCCTCTAGACAGTATAAGAAAAGAAAGTTAATAGTTTATGAAATGTGCATTTGTGCATGTTTAAAAGTTTTAATACCCTGATTTCAAACAGAATCTACCATATTGGGCGAATACTCTGAAAAAACCAAAATCACCAAACAAAAAAAATCAGTCAATAGGATTATCCTATAAATTTAAAGCAGTAAATTCAAACCAGAACTTTGTTCACCTACATGTTGCATTTCATTCTTGTCAGGGCCAACCACAAATATATTTTCTTTTAATTAAAGTAATAATTTGTTTAAATATTTGATAACAGTGCCATAACTGTGCCAGTGGAAGACTTAATTTATAAACACTCAAATATAACTTTATTATTTAGCTTCAGTCCTTGTTGTATTTGTGAAGTAAAAAGAGCTGATATAACCTCACAGCAATATGAGAGAGAGCAGGAGGATGAGGTTGTGAGCAAGGAGAGGGAAGAAAGTAAATTCTAGCTAAAATTAATATTACCCTTAATGAACCACTTTCTAAGTTCAGTCATCTTCCAAAAATGTACAGTCATGAGAATTTTCTTATCTCTATTCCTAAAGTGTATTTTCCATTTTGCAATAAAGCTAATTTTAATAATTGGTATGATTTTGAATGTTTCAGTTCTCATAAAAGTAAAATGTGACTTTATGTATGGTTGTTATAAACATGCAGTGAAGAATTTATGTGAGTAAGCTGACTTGCATAAGCAGTACATGAAGTATTTTGGTAAGAACAAGCCAAACATCCTGTCCTACATGCTGTAAGGTATTGCCTTCTGCAGAGCTGCTAGTGCTTGATAATTTTATCCTGTTCATAACACTCATTTTCTATTTTGGAAGATGAGTCTCCTAGGTCATGACTGCCCTTCAACCCTCTGTTTTTATTGCAAGTCACTGTCATTCAAAAACTAAAAGTAATCATGGATGCTTTTTTGACACATTCTAAGTAACTATAAAATACTTCGGTCACAGTTTTGCTTTCAGTATTGATGCTAAGTATATTCACACTGCAAAAAAGAGGGATGAAAACAGAGTTATTATCTCTCCTCTTGTGCTAGAATTAGGCCTTTAAGTTAAGCATTAAATGTCATAAGGCTTGTGACTGGAAGAGTCACTGTGGCCTAATGATGCTGGGTGTGAAGCTGCATCTTGGTTTTAGTTTGTGGATCTTTCATCTTGAAAACTATGGATAGTTCTGTGTTAGAATGATCATGGTTCTATTTTATATGGCCAGTGTTCAGAGATGCACATTTGGCATTTTTAGTTGGAGGAGAGCCACTTGTTCAGCAAAACAACACTATGAGGTGAGTTTTGGTCCTTCAGAAGGCTAGACTAGAGCTAGATTTTCAGTCCTGCTTAGAAAAATTTGTCCTAGGCTTACTTGTCGTTCTATCAAAGCAGGAGAAAAGAGCTGTGAACTTTTCATCATGTCATAGAGCAGGAAATGGAAGTAGTTTGGATTTAGTCTTGTAGTTGGATCTGATTACTTGCTAGCACTTAATAGAAAGACTGTTTACAGTTTATGATAATCAGTTCTGTGTGTTAAAAAAGGCAATAGGCACAGAACTACTGGATGAGTGTGCACAGATTATGGTAACAAATTCTTTCCCTTTCCTCATAACAATTCCTTGTGTACATCCAGACTCCTAGGATATTATAAAGGAGCAGGTGTTCAGATCCTTTCCCTCATACGCTTTTGCATTAAAGGGGTTTCTCTTAAGTCATTTAACAGACTTCAGAACAAGTGGGAGACATCTCAGTTGCTTGCTTTATCTGACATTTGACAGCCAGAATCCAAGGCCAGTTTACAAAATTATGTGATAGTAAGTGATACAGCTTTGAATCCAAGTGGGATTTATTCAATTTTTTAAATTAATATAGTTTCAAAGCTAGCCAGTGCTGTGGCCTTTGACTGAAATTTGACTTACATTCCCAGTTCCAAGCAACAAGGAGGACTGTCATCTTTCGTCAAAGTGGGGAGGAGTTAAAGAGAATCCTCAGAGTAAATTTTATTGCAACATTTACAAATCTGTGCTGCCTATGCTTAGGAAAAACAAGTATTCTACCTTTAGTAAAATTTAGAGTGTGTATCATGCTGTCTATGTTTAGTCAACTATACTTACCTTTTTCCCCATAGCAGAAAAACATTTAAAATAAATAAAATGCTGGGGTTTTTTTCTTCCGCATTATAGTTTAGTTTACAAAATGACCCTTATTACTAAAGTCTGTACTTTTCTTACTTATTTTTCTCTTTTTTTCCCCTTTTTTTCTTTTTTTTTTTTTTGTATTTTTAAGTACTATTTGTAGTTCATGTACTACATATAGTTCATGTACTTCATGTAGTTCATGTACTACATAGAAGTAGTTTATCTTAACGGACTTTATCAAGGTATTGCTCTTTGAGACTTGATTTAGGATTATATGTTCCAGAAAGTTACTAGAGGAAATCCATCCTCTTCCCACAAAACTACAATAGCGGAATGGTAGTGAAATACCACACATTTGGTGAGTTTCACACTGATTTTCTATCTTGCACCACAAATGCCTGTGCAACTGGCAAATCAGGTAGGCCAAATTTCAACAGAGCCTCACAGAAAAAAAGCTATTAAAGGTGACCTTGTGTACAGATATGCCAGTTCAAAACAAAATTATCCCACTGGGGAAGGGCAGATTAATGCAGAGTTCTTTGTACACCTTGATTAAAATTATATAGGTCTAAAGCTTATGGAAAATCTGAATAGATTGCATGTCAGTCATGGAAACCAGCTGCCTTTCAAGGGAATGTGATCCTCAGTTAGGCCGTTCAGTTCAAATGCAACTGAAGTGGTTTATGACCTCCTCCTCTGCAAATGCATCCACTTTCATTTTTAGTCAAACATGTGTTCTGTGAAAAGTAAACTTCCTTCTAGTGGGTTAAATCTTGGAATTGAGTTCCTATTTAAAGGTTAAATAAGATCTTTCTAGTTTGACTTGTGAGAAGAAAGTGACATGCCAATGAATTCAGCTTGTGAAACCTAAGTACACTATTATTTTCCAGGGTGCACACAAGCACAACATACATGCTATTGCTGTATAAGAGACACCGTGAAATAGTATAATGTCAAAAGAAACACCTTGTCATTTTTGATAATGTTGTCATTTTTGATAGTCAGCTATTACAATTATTAAATGCAAAAAGACATAAGGCCAGAAATTGTCTTAGCACACCTTTAGATCTTTATAACCCATTGTAGAAGTACATAATACCTTTGTTAATTAAACCTTTCCTCTGAGAGTTTGTACATTTCTGCCAGTTTTAGATAAACAAAACTTTATTTCGTGAGTATGGTATTGCATCTACTTTAAATCAGGAATAGTTTTAAATGCACAGTTTTTAATGGGTGTGTGGATACCAGCCACATTTTTAATTGCTACAAGAAACAAGATTTTAAAAAGAGATTAGAGATACCAGATACACAGCAGAATACTGAAAGTCACCTGGTTTTAATGCTTTGCTTTGTAAACAAAGATGTAATCAATACTGATTACCGCTGTGTTGGCAGTCTGGTTTTAAGTACTCTTTATTTAAGGACTCTAATGAATATCCATTTTTTTTCTGGAAAATTCCTGATGTTTTCTGCACAGATAATCTAAAAAAAGTAATAAAAATGACAGTGATGTAGTCTTCTGATGCACTAGTATTTCTATAAAGGAAAAGAACACTCATTCCTTTTCAGCAATGATTTCAATGTAATACTTCTCCCCTCGTGGTTTTTTTTATAGTTCATGTTGTACATCCTTCAATTCCTCCTTCCTTTAACCATACTGTAGAAGCAGGGCATACATCTAGGTCTTTTGTATTGTTCTGGTTCTTTCTTGCTTTGTAGTGTTGATTTCCCCTCATCAAAGTCACAGTTTCGAACCTATGGTTACTTCAAGACTCCAAAATGTTTATATCTTCCTGACTGCTCTCCTAAAAAGCATAATTAAATCTCAGTCTCTTCAGCCTTCAAGAAAAACATTAGACCTATAACTAACCTAGCCTGCCTTCCTCCTTCCTTATATGCAGACAACCATTAAGAAAGTGGTGGAAGACATTGCCTGACTACAAGATGTGGAATTGTGTGAAGGGGTATTAACAAAAGGTGCTTAAGTTTGGAGGGGGAAAGGGATCAATAATTTTCATTTTTCAAGAGAAGCATCCTGTCTGAGGGCCCAAGTTTGAGTCAGTAAGCAAAATGAAGATGAGTAATTACCCTG